ATAGTAATTAATCCCCCATATAGTAATTAATCCCCCATAGTAATTCATCCCCCATATAGTAATTCATCCCTCATAGTAATTCATCCCCCATATAGTAATTCATCCCCCCTATAGTAATTAATTCATCCCCCCTATAGTAATTCATCCCCCATATTAATTCATCCCCCATATTAAGTCCCCAAGTCCCCCCTGTGTCAATTCACTTACCTTTGCTCCGCGCGCGTTCCTCTCGCCGTGTTCCCGCGCCGTTCCGGTGTAGCATGAAAATCTGTCTCCTATGAGGATCTGTCCCCCTCGACGTATCTGCGCATGTGCCAGTTTCAGGCATTAGCAGCCGATCGGCGATCTCTGGCACATGCTCAGATACGTCGAGGGGGACAGATCCTCATAGGAGACAAATTTTCATGCTACACCGGTCTTCAGGGCGGACTGTGAGAGGAGCCTAGCGGGAGCCTAGCTCCGCGGGCCGGATTAAAAGGTCCGCCGGGCCATAGTTTGCCCATTGCTGCCCTATTGCCTGTCACCTGGTGGGCAGTGTGCTCCGGAGCCACAGCCAAGGTGAAAAAGAGCCGCATGCGGCTCTGGAGCCGCGGGTTGCCGACACCCGCACTAGTCTCTCTGGTCTATATAATTGATACATCGTTTCAAGCATAGAGGTAATTTTGTTTTGTGAATCTGGGCCCATGATGTGCTACCAGATGGACTATCCCTGTGGGATATTAGCTAATTTATATTTATATTATGGTCTTTCTCCAGGCCTACACTGCTTTGCATCATTATTCTGGCTGTGGTCGGACTATCAGACTGACATTATAGACCATCAACTGGAATTTTTGACTTATCTCTACCTGTTGATTGCTTGGGAGTTTCGTGTGGTTCTTCACCTGTCCATGATTTGGTGCATGCGCCCCCACACCCGTCAGTGGGTTCTACCCTTCCTTGTAGCCCTGGGGGGACCTGGTTCTGATTGCGCTAGGGAGCCCTTTGTCACACAAAGTACACTTGTTAACTATGTACTGTAAGTGTTTATAAGTGTTATTTATGTTGTATTTTTGTCCAAATCCACATACATGTTTATTGCTCAAGTTTGTTTATCATCTTTAGATGCGTTGCTACTCCATGAAGAAGCTATTTCAGTTGTGAAACATGTTTGGCGTCTGCTACACAGCTTGAACACTCCCCTACCTTCTGAAAAAATTATATCGTTCTTACCATCTTCATTCAACTCCTTTCTGGAACCAGTCTGTTATGGTCGGCTGTGGGTCAAGTGTGCAATGTAATCTTAAATATGTACAAGATATGTTTTAAAGGTGACATGTTAATAAAGTAACATTGGTTTTATCTTCTGTGTATCGAGTTTTTGACACCATCTTGTACATACTACCCATCGCCATACACTCCGCACACTCCTCTCCCTGCACATACTACCAACCGCCATACACTCCGCACTCCTCTCCCTGCACATACTACCAACCGCCATACACTCCGCACTCCTCTCCCTGCACATACTACCAACCGCCATACACTCCGCACTCCTCTCCCTGCACATACTACTACCATCGCCATACACTCCGCACTCCTCTCCCTGCACATACTACCAACCGCCATACACTCCGCACTCCTCTCCTGCACATACTACCAACCGCCATACACTCCGCACTCCTCTTCCTGCACATACTACCCACCACCATACACTCCACACTCCTCTCCCTGCACATACTACCCACTGCCATACACTCCACACTCCTCTCCCTGCACATACTACCCACCATCATACACTCCACACTCCTCTCCCTGCATATACTACCCACTGCCATACACTCCACACTCCTCTCCCTGCACATACTACCCACCATCATACACTCCACACTCTCTCCCTGCATATACTACCAACCGCCATACACTCCACACTCCTCTTCCTGCACATACTACCCACCACCATACACTCCACACTCCTCTCCCTGCACATACTACCCACCATCATACACTCCACACTCCTCTCCCTGCACATACTACCGACCATCATATCATACACACACTCCTCTCCCTGCACATACTACCCACCATCATACACTCCACACTCCTCTCCCTGCACATACTACCCACCGCCATACACTTTGCACTCCTCTCCAATTTAGGTACAGTTAGGTGGGTATTATTTCATATTGTCCCTGCACATAGTTTTTGTTGGAAGAGGGCACTTATTTAGAATTTTTTCAACTGAGGTTTATAGAGCGAGTTTAATTTCTTTATGTTTTTCTGGCTTTTTCAGAGCCTGGTATCAAGCAGCTCTATAATAAAATATCATTTTGATTCTCAGCGCTGTCTGAGTCATTTATTTGTTTAACATTTACATTAACATGTGTGTCACGTCAGCGATCTTTACTGCACCATGAATTAATCTCTAACAATGCCCAACCAATGTTTTTTAAATAAATATTTAACCTCCCTAGCGGTCTGATTATGTCAGTATTTCTGTGCTCAAAGCGGTACATGTTTTTGCATGGAAATATGTCTTTTTTTATTGTAGGCCTGTAATTTTTAGGAATAACTCACTGAAATCTGTCTGAACAAGAGTCTAGTAAACATCCCGGGTATGTTAAAATTTGAAATACGAAATCATAAATTATAATTTAATAAAATCATAAAAAATAATAATATAATAAATGTATTTCAATAATGTAATCAAACCAAAAACACTGAAATTTGAAATATAGCGCCAAATTCGCACATCACTGAGCAAAATCGTAAAATACTTTTCAGTGTCTGATGACGAATTTCCCCACAAATCATTATCACTGAATTCTGCAAGTAGTTCTGATTTATTATCGCTGTTCTCTAGCTGGTCTAAAACCACTTTTGACCTAAAGGGACGCTTTTTGGACGTTTCTCAGTTTCAAGGCAGAAAGAACAGCAAAAATGCAGGCAGGGCACAGGAAAAAGCACTAGGGACAAAATGTACGTGAAATTGGTTGATACAGTAATGTTTTACTATGTGATTTTAGTGTATTTAGTGAATGTCACTTTTTGACATTTTTAAATTTCCCGCCAGTTCTGTCCCCATACGTCCTGACGTTGCAGGGAATGGAACCCGGAAGACAGATGCCAGCATCCGCCAGAGGAGCAACGCTGCAGGGTATTCTCGAGTGTAGCTTGGGGTTACCACTTGTGGTGCTGAAACTTTACCCCGAGCTACACTCGGGAATACCTCCAGGGAGGTTAATAACAAATATATGTATGTTTTTTTTTCTACTAAAATACCGCTTGATTTGATAAAAATAACTTGTGCGGTATTTTAGTAGCATTTTTTGGTGAATTCAAATGTTTTTTTCTATTAAATGCTATGTGGTATCCTACCGCATACTCGGATGCAGTAAGATACCGCTTAGTGAATTGTGCCCTGTGTCAGATGTCTTGCAAATCGCGTCTGAAATCGGCGGTTCACCCAACTTTGAAATCGTGCGACTTCACTGTAAGTCGCACAATTTCAAAGTCGGGCTTGATGTGAACAGAGGGTAAGTGTGGGAACCCAGCTGTGACAGCTTGCGGCTTCACAGCTGGGAGCCCACTATGCATGTGCGAGCAGCGCTGCGCTTTGGGAATGGTCCTGCAGTCTTCTGGGACCTGTCAGGTGTCCCAGAAGACTTTGGGGAGGGGGGACAAAATCCTAAGCAATTGGAGTGGAAGTGGGAGTGGGTACCTATCAAAAGGCTTCCCCCCCCCACTTTCCAAAGGTACCAATCCTTAACAAGGAGCAGGGGACAAGTCGTTAAAGCAGAACTTCCCCTTTTGGGTGGAGCTCCATTTTAAAGTGGAACTGCACTGCATCTAAGCAACAGAAACCAAAAATGCTATTTAATTCATTTTTAATATTCAAAGCAAACTCCCCCATCCATCCATGTCTCCATGCTTTATTTTTATTTTGCTGAGAAATCATTTTGAAAAACACCCCCATCTTTTCTGGCAGTGGCCATCTTGAGTAAGGGCAGATGATTCATGTATCATTTGCTCCCTGTAATCCATCTGCCCTTAGATCAGGCATAGACTGAGTTGAGAACTCTTGCTCCTCTCCTGAAGACAGCTGGGATGTGTGACATCATTTGCCAAAGCATGGAAACCAGGATATAACTGAAGAAATGTAAGAAATGTAAAAAAAAAGTTTAAAACAAGTAAATATGATATACGTTCCTATTAGGGTTGCCACCTCATCCCTTTAAAACCGAACACATATTAAACACACAGGTTCTGATGCTAATTTATTGCACATAAGGCACTCAGTGAGTTTCATTACCACCTGTGTAATCAATATATGTTTGGTTTTAAAGGGATGAGGTGGCAACCCTAGAACTTATCTATTTACTAATGCTAGCAGTATAAGGATTAAATATAGTCCATGTTGATTGAGAGAGTGAAGTTCCGCTTTAAGTCCCACCTCTGCTATTGCTCCATGCACCAGTGTTTTGATTGCCTTCCTTGCTGCAAGACCCTTTTGCCTGTTTATCCTGCTGTTAAGCTAGCCTTGCATCCCATACCCTGCTGCTCTATTTCTACTCCCCTTATTCCCGTACCCCATCGGGATTTCCCCATTCCTTGCATCCCTGGAATTTCCTTGTTACGCATGCTTCCCGTCTTGTATATATTAATACATATTGTATATTGAAGCATGAGACGTAGTGGCAGGGCTGTGGATAAGGGGGTACCACCAGTCCTCTTGTACAGGGCCCAGACAGCTGGGTGAATCAGATGTGGACAGGAAGGGTGATCAGCATGGCAGGAGGAGAAACTGCCGATTTCAGGCGCGATTTGCAAGACATCTGACACAGGGCACAATTCACTAAGCGGTATCTTACCGCATCCGAGTATGCGGTAGGATACCACATAGCATTTAATAGAAAAAAACATTTGAATTCACCAAAAAACGCTACTAAAATACCGCACAAGTTATTTTTATCAAATCAAGCGGTATTTTAGTAGAAAAAAAAACCATACATATATTTGTTATTAACCTCCCTGGAGGTATTCCCGAGTGTAGCTCAGGGTAAAGTTTCAGCACCACAAGTGGTAACCCCGAGCTACACTCGAGAATACCCTGCAGCGTTGCTCCGGGATCCCTCGATCACTTACCTTGTCCTTCGCTCCCGTGATGTCCCTGCAGCAGCTGAAAGCTGGTTTCTTCTGCTTGCTTTCAGCTGCTGCAGAGAAAGCCATACAGGGGATCGGTTCCAGTAATTGTTCCTCACTACACCCATCACCCTACCTGTGTGCCCCCCCCCCCCCCCCCCGCAGTGCTGCCGACTTCCCTCCTCTCCTTTCCACCAGCAGCTGCAAGCACATAATCTGATTCTGCAGGATGGAGAGTGGGGGAAGGCTGCTGTAAATATGTCACATTTACCAGCCCCACCTTTCCTGAACGAACACAATGACTTATCGGTACCGATCACTCACTGTGTTCATTCATAAGTAAAGCATAGTAAACTGTTTTTCTTGGGGTAGGGGGCCCTTGTCAAGTTGGCTGTATGGGCCTCGTGGTTTCTAACAGCAGCCCTGCGTAGTGGCGCCACTTGGAAGCTGAGTATCAAAGGAATCACCTCACCGGCAGATATAGGGGAGCGGTGCATCAGTGTCAGTCCAGTCACTTACATGGAAGGAGAAGATAAGACACCGCTCTCACCTCCTGTGCAGTCCGGTGTGTAGAGGAAGGCCTCATCCGTAACGTGACTACGCCCTCTGATGTGTTTTGACCCACTCACCGGAGGGCTTGATCACAGAGGAGTCCTCGTGCGCTTTGTAATCCGATGGTGCCACAATTGATTTCGAAATTCAACCAAGCCTTTAATTTCACGTCATGTTGCTACAGAAAATAATTTTCATGGCCAAGAATTTTCCTTTCTTTGCAGGTCACAGCTCACGCTCATTTCTTATTTATGTTTCCCGCACGATTCTCCCATCGTTGATTCAAAATTAGTTTTTTTAAAAAAAACATTTCTAACATGCCTGATCACTCAAATTCAATAGTCACACGAAAAATCGTCTGTTTCTGTGGCCCCCTAATGGAGTGAAATTCAAACAAAAATTATTAGAAAAGATTTTCAAAAGAAAATTCTTTTGGAATTCGACCCATGTATGGCCGGCTTTAGTTTGTTAGGTCACTTGTTATTTATGTTTGCTATTTGCTCCCTCCTAGATTGTAAGCGCCAAGGAGCAGGACCCTCGAAACCCCTCGTGTATTGAATCGTATTGTTACTATACTGTCTCGTGTATTGTCTCCCATTATAATGTACAGCGCTGAGCAAACTGTTGGCGCTATATAAATCCTCTATAGTAGTAATAATAATTTGCTGGTGTGCGGTTATCCTTTTCACTGTAAATAAATCTCACTTTAAAGATAAATTTATATGGTATCTGGTCCCAGGTTCTTTATGTGTAGCACACAGATCTGGTCATCTCAGCTGCTGACTCCTCACAACCACATACCTTGCAGCTAATCATACTGAAAGTTTGGTTTGTGTATTCTGCTGTTGAGATGCAGGCTGAGAGTCAGAAATTTAACAGATGACCATTTCCTGTGAAATGAGATTCATCTATGCCGATACACAAGCTGAGCAACTCTCCTGTACTGAGGACATGATTTGGTTATATTTAATGCTGTTGGTGCTGCTCTGCAAAGGTAAAGTAAGATCAAGCACTGCTACTTATTATCAGAGTGACTTTTGCAGCACTTTTCTGGTGTACAACAGATAGAACTGTAAATGCTCCTTCATATACAGGTGACAATTCTTCTTTCTAATGCCAGATTTCACATGTAAATATTTGCACTGGGAATTCTATTACTTGTTTACAGTTGCGGTTGTAGGGGTGGTAAAAATAGGTGATTGAGCTGCCACCTGACCTCTTAGGATCTGTTCACATCTGTACAGTGTGTTTTTGATGCATTGCATTTTAAAGTGTTACTAAACCCACAACAGTAAAACCAGTCTGTATATGCAGTAAAGCATGCTTGTTATATTCACTGTGGAACCGAAGGGGTTAATTCTCTGCATTGTGTAAAAGGTTGTTTGATACTGACTTCTCTGCCCCTCCTCTTGTTCAAATGCCCTCGTCTTATCTCATGATAAGACAGACTGAACCCGTAGTCACATGTACATGCTCAGTTTGGTGTGTTTTGCTAGAGAGGTTTTTTTTTTTCTTGGGAGGGTGCATGTGATCGGCTTAGGGCCAGTCAGCACTGTCCAGACAGAGGGTCAGTGGTTTTGCATCCTCCTAGAGCAGAAAGAAAACTCCTCCTACAAGCTTTAACCAGTGCTCTGCTGAAGTCACAAGACTGCTCTAACTGCTGATGAGAAAAGGTATTTATCAGTTTATATTTTCAACAATGATTGCACTTCCATGTTCTGTGTACTGTGGGAGACCAGATATAGTGAATGCAGGGTCCTGGGTTTAGTAACACTTTAAGTGTACTTATACAAATGTATTTATTAGGATTCATATACAGTAGACTACATATACAGTATCACATTCATTACATTAGGAATTAATAAAGAACGTTAATCGATGACTCTCATGTTTTAGCAGTGCTGACATATTTTTTCAAACTTTGAAAATGTGTGCATATTCTCAGTCCACCCCTTTAGCTGCACCTGCTGCTTTTTAGTATTTCTTGCTAATAGCCAGCAAGATGGGTGATACATAAGCTTCCTGCTGACTGCAAAATTACATCTCCCATGGTTCCTTGCACTGCCCCAGTCACTGTACTGCTGTTCCAACTAAGCCAGAGGGAAAGAACACATCTTGGGCACCCTTTGGAAGTGCATGTTCTTAAAAATATAATTTGTGTATCTCTGTCCTGATAGCAGCCACCAGAAAGATGACTATGGTTCTTTTCCCAATAGTTGCCACGCAGCCAGGCACATGGTCACAGTCATTCTTTGGCTCAATGAACAGTTCAGGGATATTGTTTTTAGTGGTTTTATTTTTGGGTAACTTGGATTGGAATACACTTTTGCTTCTGTAGAACTATGAGCCAAGTCCTTGCATAAGTAAAAGAGTGGTTTAAATGTTGTAGCAGCAGCTTGAGGAGATTACTCTTCCTCTCTGGACAGTCCAAACAAAGTCCTTTCACTAAGAATTAAAAAGACTGAGCTGTTCAGGACACTGGACACATTGTCTACTTTAACCTCCCTAGCTGTATGATTATGTCAGTATTTCTGTGCTCAAAGCGGTACATTGTTTTCAATGGAAATATGTTGTTTTTTATTGTAGGCCTGTAATTCTTAGGAATAACTCACTGAAATCTGTTTAAACAAGAGTCTAGTAGACATCCTGGGTGCAATAAAGTTTAATAAATTAAATCATAAATTATAATATAATAAAAAATAATAATATAATAATAAATAAAATAATGCAATCAAATCAAACACACGGAACTCTGTCCAAACAATATTATATAGACAATGCATATTCTAGAAAACATCACGGGTGTGGTATATTTTGAAACATGGGACTGCACAAAGTCCAACATTGCAATCAGGACAGTAGAACCTCATTTCCATGTGGATTTTTTTTCCACTCTCATCTCATCGAGAGCAACATACCATGCACATCCGTGTAGGTGCTGCCTTTTTTTGGGTTGGTGGGATGTGGTCCATAAAGTGACGTCCAGTCAGGCGTTCTGGGTTGACAACTCCCAGAGCATCTACCCACAGACACTGATGATGTTTGATGTTTGAGGAAAATGGATTCCGCCACTTTCCATATAAAGTCCGCATGAACCACAGACTTGTCACTGTTTTTGCGGAATAGAATGTAGGCATTCCACAAGCACTGTTCTAGGAGATCCCGGAAAATCTTTTTGTAATATTTCCTTTGCTGCTTTTTCATCGATGGATAGAAAGTCATAGGTTGGTCAGCTCTATCGACACCTCCCATGGTGCTATTGTAGTCAATAACAACCTGTGGCTTCTGGATGTTTTTCCCACCTTTTGTTTGTACCATCACTGTGGAGGCATTGTGAATGGTACTCATTAGGCACACATCCTTCTTGTCCCGCCATCTCAGTGCAATCATTTTGCCTTTCTGCCAGGCAACTATTTCTCCCGACTTCAGTTTGCTTTTTCCAAACATTGATGGCAGGTTACGCCGGTTAGCCCGAACTGTTCCATATGCATCCGTTTTGTGCTGCAGAAGAACCTCTTAAAGTTCTGGAGAGGTATAGAAATTGTCGGTTGTTACACAGTAGCCTTGGTTTAGCAGGGGCTCAATCAGTGACAGGATGGAGGATGTTGCCATTCCATAGTTGCTGTACTTGGGATCAAATTTTGTGCCTTTGCTGGTGTATATAACTGTGTTTCATATGTAGCCGGTAGAGGATTCCCACAGCAGGTAGGATTTGAAAAAATCAAAATCGTGCTCTCTTGGATGCGATATATTGTATCCAGCTGATCCTTCCTTTGTAGGACATTAGACTTTCCTCTATGCTGATATCTCTCTCTGGCACACAGCTCTGCTGGAAATTTCTGACAATTATTTGGGAGACTTCCCAAACTTTTTTTAGCTTAGGAGCCGGATGAGTTGTTTCATCAAAATCCTCATTGCTTGCGAAGTGCAAAAATTTCATAATAAGGGAAAAGCTGTACTCCGACATGACTGTGCCAAAGAACGGTGTGGCGAGCATTTTGTTGGTGATCCAGTACCACTTCTGCGGCGGTTTCCCCACCACTCCTTGTAGAATAATTAGGTCGAGAAACAGCCAAATGTCCTCTTTGGTCACAGGTTCCCACTTTCTGCTTTGTGAAAACCTGCTATGTGGAGCAGCTAGTTGTTGCGCTGCGTACCTATTTGTCTCCGTCACGATAAGTTCAATAACCTCATCGGTCAGAAACAATTCTAAGTATGCTACGGGGTTGTCACCTTCAATGTGGATTGTCATACCAGGTGTGCCAGTAAACAGAAATCTTGAGGGCGCTGGTGTACCGCAATCAATAGTGCACCACGTGCGCAGATCACTCACGTCAATCTCAGATTCGCCGCTGTCTTCACTGTCGGTGTCTGAAGACGAATCGCCACATGAGTCGCTATCGCTGAATTCAAGTAGCTCCTCACTGTTGCTGATTGCTAGCTTATCATTAACCGCTTTGGTGCTAGCGAGACACTTTTTGGAAG